CCAGTCATCCCCTGTCGTTCCCTACGACATGAGGGCCTCTACCTACTGATTGTCACCTGCCAATCACATCTTCAAAACATCAGCTTAATGGCCCTTATTCGATGGTTAGGCTGATGAGCTACTCTACTGACACCGACCATATATGCTATGAAAATATTAATAGAAATCTGTGACGGATACAGTATTTAATACAACCTCACGTTCATATGTGCTGTAATTACTTTTAACTCATTGGACTCGTTTCATCCTGATCTGGGCAGAGAGATATCAGTAATTCAGGAAAAAACTTTTCTCCCATTTTAAATCGTCAAAGGCCCTTTGTCAGTTTTTTTGGTGCTAGCAGAGACCTGAAGGTCAAAACAAATGTCATTAAGGCCCAATATGATCGCCATGATACCTGGTCGAAAGTAAAAGTTACTTTAGCAGTGTCTAAGGGTTGTATGGACGTGAACAACAATGGGACCAATATAACCTAATGGTGAATGGAGGGAATACTCAAGACGTGTCTTGGGAGTCCATCCTCGCACTCACTGTAATCACCTTCCCGGCCTCATGTCCACATACACAAGTGAGGACAAATTAACAAATGATTGGCATACTTTGAAGACAATCACATATCCAGCAAAATAAAAATCTACTCTTTTTATTCCGGCTCTCACTAGTTACTGGGCTCTCCAACTCTTCCAGAAATATCAACTTGATGATATGGAACTATAATTTAAGAATGTAATAATACATCATACATAGTTATATGAAGCCATACGGATTCAGGGACGGCAAATCTTGCCTCACAGGTTTGATACAATTCTATGAAATTCTGTTCAGAGCATCACAAAATACCAGTGTCACGTTTTAATATCAATTTGATGCGGAACCCCCCCCCCCCCCCAGGGAATCCTCGTTCTAATGAGTAATTAAGGATTCCCACGACCACAGCGAATCTCGACCTGTTGACCGCTTGCTTATGACGCCCTAGCCACAAGGGCCAGATGGACTAGCCACAAGGACCTGATGGACTAGCCACTAGTCCGTGTAGGCTAGGCAGGACGTGTACCTCCCTCAGGCTGTTACTAAATCATGACAGCTTGTTGAGCGAACCATCTGCCATGTCCAGACTGGAGTTGTTACTTGCAGGCTCAGTCGGAAAAAAAGTAATATCCCTTAACCAGTAATACCTGTAACATACAGGGGGCTAGAGGACATTTTTGCGTTGCATTTGATGACACTTTTAAACTCCAGTTTGCGTTTGATTAACAAGAAAGTTTTTTTTTTTCAGCCATAGGTAGACACGTTTTAAATCTGGCAGTCTTTCACATGGATATATTGGACAGCTTTCCCCCTCGGGGTCCCCATTCACTGTGCCTAGATGTGTATCAACACTAATTTTCCTATCTGTGTGAAGCCTGGATGAAAAGTCTGAATTTTGGGAGAAAGAAGAATTATTTTTGGTTCCTAATTGCTGAAAAGTGCTCATGAAAGTGGAGAGAGAAATAGATAAGCTTAATAAAGACCATGTGAGAGATAAATGAATGTGTAGGGGAGTCATGGTGGTACAGGGGGTTGGCTAGGCACAGGAGGGGGTTGGCTAGGCACAGAAGGGGGTTGGCTAGGCACAGGAGGGGGTTGGCTAGGCACAAGAAGGGGGTGGCTAGGCACAGAAGTGGGTTGGCTAGGCACAGGAGGGGGTTAGCTAGGCACAGGAGGGGGTTGGCTAGGCACAGGAGAGGGTTAGCTAGGCACAGGAAGGGGGTGACTAGGCACAGGAGGGGGTTAGCTAGGCACAGGAGGGGGTTAGCTAGGCACAGAAGTGGGTTGGCTAGGCACAGGAGGGGGTTAGCTAGGCACAGGAAGGGGGTTGGCTAGGCACAGGAGGGGGTTAGCTAGGCACAGGAGGGGGTTGGCTAGGCACAGGAGAGGGTTGGCTAGGCACAGGAGGGGGTTAGCTAGGCACAGGAAGGGGGTTGGCTAAGCACAGAAGGGGGGTTGGCTAGGCACAAGAAGGGGGTTAGCTAGGCACAAGAAGGGGTTGGCTAGGCACAAGAAGGGGGTTAGCTAGGCACAAGAAGGGGTTAGCTAGGCACAAGAAGGGGGTTGGCTAGGCACAAGAAGGGGGTTGGCTAGGCACAAGAAGGGGGCTGGCTAGGCACAAGAAGGGGGTTGGCTAGGCACAGGGAACCTGGACCAGTATAGGAGGATGATTTAAGACCCGCGCCACTGTGAGGTCTGAAATTTCCTCCTCGTCTCTTCAAACATCGTAAGTCAGTGTACAGATGGTGAGTGTCTCAATGGCTCATTTTAAGGACTATTAAACAAAATTTGCAATATTTAGTTTGTTACACAAACGATTTTCATTTAAGGTTGATTGAGCAACCCGTCCTCTCAACTTATAGGTCTCGGGGTTTTTTTACGTTAAAATTACCAACGTTACAAATGCAATCTACTATGATAAGTAACGCCTCACAAATATCTACATTTTCTATGCATCGGACTCAATAGGTTAAGCGAGTTGCTTCGGCTCGTACTCTTGTGGTTAGGTTAGGGTTAGGTTAAGTTAGGAGGCTGGGTTTTGTACGTAGTGGCAAGTCAAGAGAATAGGCAGGACTGAGAGACCCAAGTGGGAATGTCTTCGACTAAACTAGTGATGGGATGTCAGTGTTTAGACAAATGTGGACAATCATGAAAATCTTTATTATCAATTAAGTGGAATATGTTTCCTTTTGTAGCTAATAAATTGTCATTATTCACGCACAAACATCGGAGCGGAAGCATGCTGGAGCATACACACGCAGAGGAATTATGATCACAACATAAAAGATACCTATGGATTTTAATATATTAATATGGAAGACATAGAGGGTTGTAGGACTCCCTGAGGTCCGTGTTGGTTGCTTCAGCAACGGGAGGAGTCCTCCAACGTTGGACTCAGGTTCGGGTCAACAGACTACCCTCCAGAGGGGGGGAGGGGTGAGGGTTCACGTACCTTGGTCTGTTTGGCTCCACTACGTGGTATAAATATTTTGACTTTTGTCACGATGACCACAACCGTCCTGATGATTTATGTAAACACCTTGTTGACTCTATATGGATACCAATGTTACCTTTCACCCCGACCCAGGCTGGCACATGCCTCGTTGGGCAGTGACAGCACCGCTCCTGTGCCAGGTAAGTCCACTACGGGCTCGCCGTAGCCCGTGCTACTTGGAACATTTTTGTTCAGAGTAGCTGAATCTAAAACTACAACAACAACCTCGTTGTGGCCACTTCTGAAGAAACACATGAACTCTTAGCAGCTTGTTCCTGCATTGATGAAATCCCAGTTCGGGTTTCCAAAAATGTCCCATTAAACATAAGAACATAAGAACAAAGGCAACTGCAGAAGGCCTGTTGGCCCATACAAGGCAGCTCCTATCTATAACCACCCATAGGCTAGCATTGGCACAGTCATTCTCCCAAAACGTATTGCGACTTGGGACAGAGACCTTAAAGATTGACACGTTTTAAAGACTGGACCATGATCATTGGCATGAACTTTCCTGTTGTTGTTTAAGTGCATTGTCCCACTTAGCGTCGTGCACCGCCTTGTCGAATGTCCCCATTTTCAGGACGATCATATGTCTTGCGTTCCTAATGTCCCGCCGGACCATTCGTCCCTCGATACAGTCCTTAGGCAATCCGATACCTTTGATATCGCCCGTCTTATGTTTGTTGTTCTCGTTTTAACATCATAAGTGATATTTGGCGCCTTTGGAATATCCAGCAACATTGACGGTGCTTCACAGTCGTGCAGGCTTGGTGCCCTCTCTTGATAATCACTTAACATTTCTAACTAAAATATATACTGACCAGTTTGAGGCAAACGCCTCAAAAAAAGGAGCAAATGATGTTAGTGTGATGGGTATGATTTTAACATGAAATTAGATCATTCGAATGGGACTATCTTCTTCAGGTGTAGGTGTGGAGGTCGGGCAGCATGTTGCAAGGATTTCAAGGATTGTTGCCTAAATTACATCTTCAACTTTTTATCCGTACACAGTATCTCAGGCTCTGTAGTTTAGGATCATAAAAAGCTGAGACGTTGTTTGTTATATACCTGAACATGCTGTCAGGTGTCAAGATGACTAAATTCACTTTTAATAACATTTATGGGAATTTACTTGAAATATTCCAGTTAATATTTAATTAGAAATTTTCTGCCTTGTAATTGTAGTTTGACTTCTAGATATAACAAGTCCAGTGAGATAAAAAAAAAATCTACACTACATTTGTAAGACTTAAACGTGAGGTTGTATTCAGTTTCATACCTTTCACATATTTATATCAATTTTAACATGACCATTTAGGTAAATGATGCAAGTTGAACAAGAATATTTACGTAACAGGAGGCATAATTTTGCACTGCTTGTGCAAGAGTCAGTTCTGCAAGATCTTGACTCTTTAAAAGCAACGCAATCTAGTAGGTGATGACTCAATGATCAACCACTATTGTGTTCAGTTTCGTTTCGTCCGGTAGTCTAGTCTACCCTAACCTACCCTAACCTAACCTAACCTACCCTAACCTGTTCGCCCGCTTTGCTTCAATTCGATACATAATCTATTACATCCTACTGAAAATGTATAATTTTGTATATGTAATTAACCGGTTTCTTTGTCTCCTACAACACATTCTCTCCCAACTCTTGCATCCAGAACTACTTTTCTCGTTATCGATCTTCCGTCGTTCAGTTACGACCTCGAGGACGACCTCGAGAACGACCTCAAGGACCACCTCGAGGACTGCAGTATCCCCTGGTGCACCGCCCTGTTTCACCCCTTGCCCCAGCTTACTAAAACGGACCTCGTCTTTCCCCAGCGTCCTTCATGCCGCCTTAATAAGTGAGGTTGCTGGCGAGGAAATATGGAGCTGCGCGCCTCTAACAATACGAACCTTTCCATTGCTCGACCCCGAGAAATATGTCGCTGTAACCCATTCCTGGGAGGCGACAACTCTTACCTGGACAAAAATGTTTCACTGGCGCTTCTGTTTTACCGTGTCGGGCTTCTGTGGCCTTGGAATACCATCGCTGGCGGGCTTCTGTGGCCTTGGAATACCATCGCTGGCGGGCTTCTGTGGCCTTGGAATACCATCGCTGGCGGGCTTCTGTGGCCTTGGAATACCATCGCTGGCGGGCTTCTGTGGCCTTGACCTTCCTTGCCAGGCAGCTTTGAGCCCAAAAGACCCTTTTCCACCGCCCTGGCTGACCTGGTATTCCAAGGTCACTTGGCAAGGTGGTGGTTGCGACGGTGCTGGGGCGCCTCCACCAGGCTGCTTCCCAACAAACATCCAACTTTAAATACTCACTTAATCGCTCCAGTTTACTGAATGCGAGAGGCCGCGTTCGCTATGCAAATTATTTGTGCAGGAGCGCCGGTGTGCCTCCGGGTGTCGCCATGAAATGTAATAAAATTGACGTATAAAGGGTGTTTTAATTCGTTTAACGAGTGTAAGATGTGTGTGTAATGCGTATGAGGTCTGGAGAGGTGTGCATTACACACTGACCTACTTAGTTGTCTGTCTCCGTCTCTCTCTCTCTCGTCTCTGTGGAATACCTTGTGAAAATGCAAGCAAGAGCTGTAATCCTTCCTTATCTCAGTTGAATCCTGTTCCTAGAGACACATTTATTTCATGAGCCTATTATAGACATCATTAGCATAAGCGTTATTCATTAGGTAACAATCATATAAGTTACAGGATGAGCCTGTAGCCAACTGTGTGCCAGAGCCTTCATGTGATCAGTCGACCTGATACGTGTATCAACTTGTTGAGCGAACAAGTTCCAGATGGGAGTGAGGATAGGAATGATTGTTGATGTGATGTTCTCGAGATATTCTTGAGAAAGGCAGTTCCAGCATGAGTTTGTTGAAGATAGAGAGAGATAGAGAGCCTAGTGTTATGGGTGCCAACTATTGGTTGTCCACGGAGTTGGGCCAGGTACGGAACTTTGAGGATGTTGGCCTTGTACGTATCAGTCAGACCACCAACGCCCCGACGGTGTTGCAGGCTTTGATATTCAGACTTTTCCCACCAGACTTGATCAAGACTAGAGATGAACCTTCTCACACGGCTCTCCACTTTGTCCTAAAGTCTCATGAATGATGGAGGGCAGGCAGTCCAGGAGCGGGCTGCATACTCTAGATGAGAGCGAACTTGTGCTTCATATAAGGTTTTGCAGCCCTTGCTGTCAAGAAGGTGTGAGATGCGCCATAGAGCTGTAAGTTTCCTGGCTGCCTTTTGGGCTAGGTCAAGCACGTGGCTCTTCATTGTCATTGAAGAGTCAAACTTCATACCCAAGATGTAAATTTCATCTGTGAACTCTAGGGTTTTGCCACCCATTTTCAAGCTTTTCCGACTTGCAATGTGCAGTCTAGTATCATCATTGCTTGTGTTTCTCAACAGCAAATGCGGCCTACCTCCCTCTTACTCTCTCTCTCTCTCTCTCTCTCTCTCTCTCTCTCTCTCTCTCTCTCTCTCTCTCTCTCTCTCTCTCTCTCTCTCTCTCTCTCTCTCTAACTGGTGAGAACCATCTCATAGTAGAAGGTTAGACGACAATCTAAGAATGATCCATCTACTAAGCCTAATCGCTGTGGTCAGGTTTTGATACTGAACTTTCTTCCCTGCAATTTGAATATGTATTTGGCAATGATGCCATGATCGTAATCCTAAGCCAATCGTTTGATGATAATATTTTTTAGGTGGCACTAATGACCCTGTTGTTACGGTACAAATGACCTCGTATCAATCCCTACTTTGTTCCTGTCTATCCCTCGTCTCTCTTTACTTCCCTCTTCCATCCTCTTCCATCTCCAATAAACTAATCAAACACCTGTTACACCTGTACAAGCGCTTGTTAGAAATTCGGAAATCAGAATTATTTTCTCCGTGAAACCTTCGGCATTTCCCTCATTCTTCTCTTCCTCCTCCTCCTCCTCATTCTCCTCTTCCACCTCATCCTCCTAATGCTCCTTGTCCTCCATTATAGCACAAGAGTGGAGGCGCTGCTGCTGTTGCTTTTACGTATGTTGTGCCCGAGCAAAGAAAATCTTGCAATTTCAGGCCTTGACGGGAAATGAAAATATTGACGGCAGAACAATAAGGCAATTTTAGAGAGTTCCGTTATTGGTGTTTTGGGCCTCTCGCTGTGTTTCTTTTTTCAGTATTTCTCGTTTATTAAAATTAGAAATGTCGTAAAAAGTGAGAAATGTCGTACATAATACTTCCCAGGACATTTTATTTTATGCACAAATTTATATCTGCTGATTACACACACACACACACACACACACACACACACACACACACACACACACACACACCACACACAACCCACACACACCCACACACACACACACACACACACACACACACACACACACACACACACACACACGCACACACACACACACATACATACACACACACACACACACATACATACACACACGGGGTCTCGTAGACCCCTGGTGACAGGGGGTCTGGTAGCTGAGCGGACAGCGCGCAGGACTCGTAATTCTGTGGCCCGGGTTCGATTCCCGCACCAGGCAGAAACAAATGGGCAAAATTTCTTTCACCCTGAATGCCCATTTTACCCAGCAGTAAATAGGTACCTGGGAGTTAGACACCTGGTACGAAGCTGCTTCCTGGGTGTGTGTGGGGGGGGGTGATTAGTTAGTAGTTAGTTACAGTTGCTTGATTGACGATTGAGAGGCGGACTGAAAGAGCAGAGCTCAATCCCCGCAAGAACAACTAGGTGAATCCACACACAATGAAAGTGTATGGCAGAGGAGGCGGACACTTGTTATTCCTGGATTAAGTGAACCAAAGGCAACATCAAAACATGAAAGGATACAGATTGAAAATTTTGAACTATGAGAAATATTGAGGTGTTTAAATACTGAGATATCAGGAAACGAGATGGAATTCACACACCGAATTGAGCTTTATGATGACAACAAACACAGACCTGTTATGCTACAATTATATAGTGAAGAGACAGTCGAATACATATTAAAGCACAAATATTTACTAAGGGCGCAGCGAAGGCTATTATAATGTGTTTATAGACCGATACATAACCAGAGACGAACAGCAAGAAGTCAAGGCGAGAAAACTAATGGACTCATTCCTTTCAATATTACCTGATGATGCTAAAACTATAAGAAAGATTAAGACATTTGGACAGCAAGAGACTACAAGATGACCTGGGCAAACTCAAGGAAATGGTCCAACAAATGGCTACTAAAGTTTAACTCAAGCAAATGTAAAGTAATAAAATAGGTGTAGGGAGCAAGAGGCCAGATACAAGGCATACCATTTAGGAGATGAAATCCTTTAAGAATCAGAAGGAGAGAAAGATCTTGGATTAAATACCACGCCAGACCTGTTCCCTGAAGGCTTGGAACCCTGTCTTAAGTAAACATAAAACTCTCCTCATTAACCTGGGTGTCTTACTGCTAATGATTGTGTGAGTTCCTGACTCCTGTACCTCATTGTGTGAGTTTCCTGACTCTTGTACCTCATTTTGTGTGAGTTTCCTGACTCCTGTACCTCATTGTGTGAGTTTCCTGACTCCTGTACCTCATTGTGTGAGGTTCCTGACTCCTGTACCTCATTGTGTGAGGTTCCTGACTCCTGTACCTCATTGTGTGAGTTTCCTGACTCCTGTACTTCATTGTGTGAGTTTCCTGACTCCTGTACCTCATTGTGTGAGGTTCCTGACTCCTGTACCTCATTTTGTGTGAGTTTTACTGTCCGTTTTTCCTGCTTAAACCCTCCAGTTCTTCTCTCCTTAACCTTTCGCTTTAATGTGTACTCATCTAATTGTGCTTGCGTTACGTGGGTTGACCGTCGGATCGCGCGTGTGTGCGTGCGTGTGTGTGTGTGTGTGTGTGTGTGTGTGTGTGTGTGTGTGTGTGTGTGTGTGTGTGTGTGTGTGTGTGTGTGTGTGTGTGTGTGTGTGTGTGTGTGTGTGTGTGTCTGTGTGTATGTGTGTGTCTGTGAATTATTTCTTGACCGTATCTATGACTTTATTTTCACGTACAACTGGTTTTTTTTCCATACCAGAATACAACTCATATGATATGATACGATATCATATGGTATCGTATATGATATGATACGATATCATATGGTATCATATATGATATCTTACAGTATCACACAACCCAGGCTATCCTCTCCCCATCCACCCCCCCCCCCGCCCCTTGATAATCCATGCAAGGTTCAACCTTCAACTAATTTTAAGTTACTTTTATCTTTTAGCTAACCTGAACGGAAAACTGAAGTCTGACAGAATAGTAAGAGGAGATATCCCTTCTTTAAGACTTCTTTTACGTCTCCCAGACTTTCTTTCTTTCTTCTTCTTCTTCTTGGAGCCCCTCAGAACATCTCAGAATTACTCCACACACACACAAAAGCCCCCTGTGACTCGCCCTCCTAAATTGCCGCCAGTTTCCCAAGCACGTTAAAAGCTTCCGGGGTTTTTTTTTCGGGGGGCATTGTTCGAATTAAGATTAAAATGAGATGGTTCGATTTTTTTTTCAAACTCAAGATGTGTGTGTGTTCATTTTAGCACTTGTTACATGTGTATTCAGTCTCCCACTTGATATGAGTGTGTTCACTCTAGCACTTGTTATGGTCTAGTCCTTACATTCTACCCCCCAGCTAATCTTTTTTCGTCACTTAGCTAATACGACTCGTCACTTAGCTTGGGTTTATACCATAAGCTAATTAATTTTCATATTTGCTGTGGTACAGCAATGACCTTTGAGCCCTATGTAATGACCTCTTGGCCCTGTGTAATGACCTCTATGCCCTGTGAAATGACCTTTGTACCCTGGTAGAGACAATGACTGACTACTCAACACATTACCCGCCGCTGTTGCTAACTGTCAAACCAATTATGTATTTTATTTGCAAGGGAAAACATTGATAATGTTATATTTTGTTTATATGGAAAATATTATAAAACTAAATTTGTTTACATAGGAAATATTTACAATTGTACATTCCTCGTACGTTGAAAATATTTATACAATTATATTTATTTGTAATACATTTAGCAGTTTATATATTTTTTGCAGGTAAAATATTTACAAAAATGTTAACATAGAAGACATAAAAATTAAATAGTTTGTTACTAACTAATAACTGCACTTGTTTAAAAATAAAAAATCTATTGTTTGGCAGTTATTAAGAATGTCACTTAAGCTGAAAAAT